CGCCGTTTGTGTTCACGAAAGACAACCCCGACTATAAGGACAGTGACTTCGTGGCGGCGCCCGCCAAGAAGGGGTCGGCCGTTCTCATCGACGGACTGGTCGTCCACAGGAGCGCTGAGAATCGGTCCAAAAATCCTCGACCCATATATACCGTCCATATATACGACGACAAGACCTGCAAATGGGATCCCAAGAACTGGTTACAGCCGACGCCTGTCAACCCCTTTCCCAAACTGTACGCCAACTGAACGCAAAACACTTGAAAATTATTTTTCGCCACAAATCTACCGTTAATTGAATTTTGATTATAAGAAAAATCACAATAAAAATGTTTACCAATAAAATAATATTTTCTTTAAAAAAATAACTATAAACTTAAGACTAACGTAAAATAAATGTATCACCAGGCTATATTTGCACTTAATTGACTGACTATTTATTTAATATAATTGAATGAAAACTTTTTACAAACTTTGTGTAACTTTATCATAAGAATAATGTATGTAGCATGTAATTTGTGAATGCAATTATAGTGTATAGAGTTGCCAGGGTGACCCTGGTCAATAAAACCGTTTGTCAGGTTTGAATGAATTGGTAAACAAACGACTATTTGATCTCAAGATTGACTGATTGGTAAGCGATGAACGGATCCGTTGGTGTGAACGACATGAGTGCCGACAACGAGACCATCGATGAGACACTGAATCCGAGCGACCACTCAATGCACAGTCAATGCGGCGATGAATGCATTGAATTACTCATCAATTATAGGAAATGTTTGCTTCAATTCAAGACTCAATGCAAATGCGGTGACAATCAGTTCAACCGATTCGTGGTCTCACTTCTGGAGAAGGAGTGGAAGTCATTGCACATCAAACGCACCACCGATGAGACATCTGCGCGTCCATCACAGGCACCATCGCATTCAACGCCCAACAGGTCATCGGTGGGCCCACAAGACATCGAGGATTATCTGCATATATCACTACAAACCAATTCACACGATGTCTCTGTCAATGATGGCTACGAATTCAATGCTCACATCGACCGCAAGCCTGTCGTCAAAGATAGTCTGTATTACAACAGTGCCATCAGTGAAGACTATGTATTACTGCCACTCATGAGTAGTCACTCGGAAGCAGACAATACCGATGAGACAGTCGACGAAGTAGTAGATCCAAACGTCACGAGATCCGCGAGGAGTCAACAAACCGATGGACAACCATTTAAGACAATCAGTCAACGCATCCAAAGGTGAGACCTATTTCTAGTGATTATTATACAGTAATGTGTATTAACTGTGAATGCATTTCCAGAGGAGATAATAGAGTGAAATGTCTGGAAATGGGATGTGATATGAGTTTTATCTCAAACTACAAACTCGATGAACACGTGAAGAGAGTGCACCCGAACGCCNGGTCAATGGATTCATGTTTTCTAATCAACGATTGCTTCATATAGTTGAGGGAATTGCAAATATGTAAAGATTCTGTATTAGTATTAAATTAAGATGTTGTTCATATAAATATCATAATGTTGTAAAATATATAAACAACAATTCTTTGAATTTGTTTTTTATGCTGTGTCTACAAAATTACCAAAAACATAGCTTACTAAATACAACTACTGTAATGGTTTTTGACATAAACTTTGAATTTTGTTTAAACAAAAAACAGTTTATTTCGAGCACAATATTCTGTATGCATTGGTGTTCAAAATTCTGTTCAAAAGTGTATTAATTTTTGAATTTATTTAATTATTTGATGTCAGTTATAATTATTGTTTAATTAATTTATAAGATTATATCACCATTTGTAATTAATTTAAGTTGTCTTCCTAAATTAATTGTATCGTGCACATTTCCGGGAATATACAGTGTTTTAACTTAATAAATGTTACAACAATTATTATTTTAATACTGTCTTAATAAATATTCCTTCAATTATATTATAATCACCAAAAATAATGATCGCTCAACACTTCATCAGATCGCCGTCAGTGCGACAAAAATTAGAGGACAGGTATGCGGGCATAGAATTATTATCAGGTAAGCCCCCATTATATTTACATATTGACACCATATTTTAAATAATAAGTAATGTCTTTAATAATTATATTCTCAATTATATTAATTATATCCATAACAATAAGAAGGATATTACAGAACCAATAATCTTCAAGAATTTAAATATAATTACAGTAAACATTTCGCAACTCATTATTTTACAGTTATTTCCTAAGGAATATAAAATTGCACAAATATGTTATACACTATTTATAAATAACTGCATCGTTTAGTACAGTATTAATATATTAAAGAAATAAAAAACAGAGATTTAGCTAAAAATGAGAAATTCCTGCAAAACATAACCCAAACCCAAATGCAACAAAAGAATTGCTGATTTAGTGACACGTTTTCGGCTTAAGAATTGATGACATGTTGTGTTTGCATACTTTCAGGCCTTTTAATAGCAATCCTAATAATTCTGACGATATTTATAATCTCATCCATGTCTGGCGTATTGTCACTGGTATTATCACTCGTATTGGTGGCATTACTGGTCGTATTCCTAGGGCTGGGCTACTGGGCCTATGAACGCAAGAGACGAATGCAGGACTCGGCCATATCCTGTCCCCTCACACCCGACGAAATGAATATATTAGGGCTGAGCTATCGGTCCACTACTATACCGGCGCACAGTTACCTCCAACCATCTCATCACTACTCATCCCATCCCAACTCAATCCATAGTTCTGTCAATTCGTCTATAATTCACAATAAATATTAACAAACATTTTATTCTGTGTTTTATATTTCCTTTAATAATACCGTATATACCTCTATATATACCTGTATTTGTAATATGAGTTTAAATACATCAGTATTTATACTATAATTTTTAAACTTGTATAAAGTGTGTACACTGTGTAGTACAATATACCGGTATTTGATGTGAATATTATCCAAAGTATTTGTAATCCCTATTCATGTGCTCCATTTGGCACATCCATGAGCTTTGCATATATTGATGTAAACTTATTATTTGTATTTTATTCAAAACATTGTAAACAAATCCTTGAGACCTATTTGCCATCACCTCATGTGTCGTCAACTGATCTGACATTTAGTGAGACGTGAATTCATAAATCACTTGACTTTTCATTTAAATGTTTTCTTCTTTAAACTTATGACAACTGTTTTCAAATAAAGTATAACTCAATAAACACTTACCGTAATATCATAATTATTAATTCATATTGAAAACAATTTATCTAAACATTTAAATTCTTAAATAAACCAGTTCATTTGTATATTTAATGTATCAATTCATTTGTTTTAGCATTAACACTCAATTTAAAAGGAATTATAACAAAGTTTAGATTGTAGTAAATATACAGTCATATTGTTTAAATAATATAGTAAATACAGTTCTTGGTTATTAATAAAAATAGTAAAAATAATTAAATCTGTAGTTTAAATACTCAATATTCAATGATAATAGTTCATGAAAACTTATCAAATAAAATTAATCACAGAAATCAACTTAATATCTTTTAAATCAAATCATACAATCATTATTACAAATGTAACAAAAGTTAAGAAAATAATATCCAAATATTTAATCATCAATTAAACACGTATTCATTAATAATAGGCAATTGAGACATGAATACGGAGTTATGATTTCCATTGACCACATACTTCACGTGTTTCTTAGCCTTATGTTTGATTAAGTCTTCCTTCAGTTTAAAACTCAATTTACAGCCATTGATACGGCATTTGAATAGCCGTTCACTCATATGCTTCT